ACACTCTTGACAATGAACTACAGCGATATCGGAGGGCGGGACAATCCCATTAATGGACTCCAATGATATCGGGGATGGTGTGACACTCTTGACAATGAACTCCAGCGATATCGGGGGAGGGGCATTCTCATCAATGAATTTCAGTGGTGTCGGGGTGGTGGGAACACTCTCGACAATTAACTCCAGTGATATCGGGGAAGAAAAACTTTCAACAGTGTAGCCTAGTAATATCATGGACACACAAAAATGATTAGGGTGCGATTTCTGTGTAATTTAAATAGGTAAGACCCCCCCCCTCCACAAAATGTAAAACAATTTAGGGTCATTGACGATTAATTTTCACAAATTATTTTTAAAATTTTCAAAAATATATCCCCATACAGCGTGTAATTGGTTCTGTTGTGCAAAACACATACATGCGGTACTTATGGAACAGGCTGACATGTAAGGGAGCGGCGACGGGCGATAGCCTACTCAACTTTAATAGAACATTGAGCAATTCTTAAGTGAAGATATAAATTTTACTTTTCGAAGGTCGCATTGTTCAGTAAACATCGGTCTACTTATGTCGGCAGGTATTCATTCGTAAGTTCAAACGTGTGTATTATTCGTTGGCAATTGTGAACTCAATTGAAACTTTCGTGAATACGTTGTTTTGTGTCTCACTGTGGCTTGAACTATGCGAAAGTACAGTGGTAGGCAGGGGTCCCACAGAGGCGTGGATGTTGTGAATAGTGTTCTTGATGTTCGGTGTGTTTTGTTGTCAGTTAGAGACATACATTTGTGTGGAATGTGTACTTTATAGATTCCAATGACCCGGCATTATCGTGCATTTATCCGCCATACTGTGTTCGAAAGTTGAAATTTGACTTTTTTCAGAACATTAAGAATGCATCAAAATGACCTTAGACTCTATGTCGATGTATTCAATCACAATTTCATTTTTTGTCTTCCAACCAACATTAGAGAAAGCAAACTAGTGTTGTGTACATGGAATCAGTAATAATCACATCCCGTACAACAAAGTGGGTCTCCAACCATAAAAAAAACACTGGGCATCAATACAACTATTAAAAATATTGAATTATGCTATAAACTATAAATAAAGGCAACAGACTCTGCTGAGTGGTTTATACCGTGTCACCTCATACGGTCAATGTATAAAGCCGCAATGAGACACAAATGCTCAGGTAAATTGCAATTGAATTCACAATACTTTAACGAATAATACATACGTTCGAAATCATAAATACATGTCATCAAAGCGTTTCACGCCTGCTTGACACTACATCATGACATATAGCTTTGTATTCACTGTGAATCTGTGATGTTTACAAAGCCTACCACATAAATAAAACGTGGTCACCTCAGTGTCAATATATTGAATATATATATGCACAACCACACAACCACAAGAATCTAGGTCGACTTGTTTTGGTAGAATTTGAACTACTTTGGTCCACTGATCGTGAGTTTTATGCATCAATACTATGGTTGGTGTCATTGTTTAGAATGTTCCTCCCTATGATCATGGAGTTATTGTCAAGAGTCCCACCGCGATATCTCTGAAGTGTATTGTTTAGAGAGTCCTTTCCCATCATTATGAAGTGTATTGTTGTGAATCCCAATCCCGATATCACTGAAGTTTATTATTTAGATTCTCCCTCCCTATCATGATCATGGATGTCATTGTGGAGAGAGTTTCTTTTTCAATATCACTGGAGTTCATAGTTGAGTAAGTCTCTACCCCGATATCTATGTAGTTTATTGTCAAGAGAATCACTTCTCAGATTTTTCTGGAGTTCATTGCTGAGAATGTTTCTTCTCCGATCTCCGATAGCACTGAAGTTCATCGTTGAAAATGTCCCTCTCCCGATATCACTAGGGTTCATTGCTAATAGTATCCTTCCTCCAATATTACTAGAGTTTACTGTTGCGAGAGTCCCATCTCCGATGTCCCTACCCCGATATCATTGGAGTTCATTTTTAGTGTAAGTCCCTATTCCATACCATTGGAATTTATTGCTCCTTCTCCAATATCACAGGAGGTTATTGTTATAAAGTACATTCCCGAAGATGGCCCGATGTAAGTATTATCAGCTCAAGCACAGATCCTTTCAGCTAATCTGCACTCCAGTTTAATAAGTGGACAAAATGGTGGAAAATGATTATTTTATTATGTCACTGAGGTTGTTGATATTGAGTTTTATCAGCCGGAAATTACCAATCAAAATGAAACGAAATTATTAACCAAGCCAAAATGCTTAATAACAAATTAAAGTGTGGACCACTAGAAAGTCGTGAAAGAGATTCTTGGCATACAGAATTTGTACTTCCAAATATAGGAATATTTGCAAATATTGCATATTTTACATGAATAACTCAGAAATAGGACTTTATATAATGAGAATCATCATAATACAATGACTTTGGATTCGCAATCAAAGGTTGATCGCTGGTTTATGTTATTTTGTCATGGGACAAAGTACCCTTGTCTTTCCTTCCACCTAGGAGTAAATGAAAACCTAGTAGAGCGGTGATTACCATGTACGTGCTTAGCTCTGATTTATTTTGAGTGACTCGTGTTAGGGTTAACTGAAGAAAGAACAGACACTAACACAATCAGAAATACAGGTACAGTTTGCACTTTTGATCTCGCCACTCTCTTTGTTTATGACCACCCATGCATCATGTTTATGACCACCTATTGCATCGATGCGTCGAAATGGTGTGCACTGAGCACGATCGAAGTACGCTGTAACTGCTACCACCCAGCAGAGCATTATCTCTTACCTGAAACAAAATTGTGAAGAAAAATAGCTGGAAGCTTTTCCCTCCTTCAATAATTCAATAATCTGTGGCGCAATCCAACAAGTTCAATGTCGGTCTTATGTTTCTGCAGAAAACAGCTGGATTCTGGTGACATTTTAACGGCCAATGATTCATACCTCTTCTCGAGGCACCCAACTACTGTTCAATGTATTTGGGTCAGCAATATGTTAATATCGTCTGTTTTGCAGTCAAATTTCTTTTTTGGAGGGTTTGACATACATCGACTACGACACTACTTCTTTGCCTTAATGCGTGACATTTCGCTATCTGATTTTCTAAACACTAGTACTGTTGTTATTTTAATTCATTTTGC